GAAAAAAATCTAGAAGGATGGTGAAACAACACGGTTGAAAATGTCCGTCCTTTTACACATGTCTGCTCCAACCCCATCATGTTTTACCCACTGTGTTTTGGATTTCTAGCTAATGCTCTGGAACCTTTCGGGTGGTGTATAGGAGCTGGCTGTGTTGCGGACGCTCTCTGTTTTTCCAGTGATGGAGTTTGCATCGTACAGAATCAAATTCCGCGAGACCATTCAAGCGCTCATCCTGTGCTAACTTCGTCTGAAGACATCGGCTCACGATAGACGCTCAGAATGAGCCCGTGATAGGCTATAGCGAGACTCACGTGGCGGTTTTAGATTGGCGTGAACGCTCCGCTGCAGAGGCTTCGATCCTTCATACGCAAAGCACCATTATTGCCTACCTTGACTTCGTCTGCGCTGTGCGCCGAGGATAGGCAATCGTCACACTATCTGGCAGTGCATCTTAAGTGCTTCCACATCCTCGACCTGGAGGCTATTCCGGAAATGGAAAATTGTTGGAAATGTGGTCAATAGGTACCGTTTCATCGGGCGAACATGTGCACAGACATTGCTCTCGTCGTACAGCAACGATGATAGGCTGCGCCATGTGGACACTGGAGTAGGCATATGGATCTGTGTGTTGACCGTTCACGCGGGATCAGCAGAGGCTCGGAGTAGTCAAAATTAGAATTTCACCGTCTTTACGTGACACTTATGGGGAGACAGTGATGTTATCAAATTTTTGGACGAGGCGGCATTATCCATGGGTGATGTGCTGTTTGCAGGATCGACGACAAGTGTGCCCACTAGTAGTAGTATCTGCCCGAAACGGTTTCGCTAAAGTTTTGCAGGAAACAGCGACAACTCCACTGCTTAACGACGATGCGAATGGAATCAGAACACTGAAGAGCACTCCTTTCGCATAGTAGACGTCAGATAGCATGACAAAGTGCTGTTCGCATAAGAAGTGGCTGACAGAATCCCTTAAATCCTCAATCAGGTGGCGTAAACATTTTAGCATTGTACGATGTTTGTGCATTCAACGAGATCCATTTCCTCAAAATGCTTCCCTTTATAAACCTTTTTTATAGTGGCCATTGTTATTGAAAGAAATGGTTCTTTGTATGTAGTAGCAAGAGAAGACCAAGTACAAATCGTGAAAAAAGTCTTGGAACCAGATTTCTGGTGAAAGCACTGTGCTGCTGCTCTGCTCTCACTCACTATGTGCCCACCATATCACATTGAAATTTTCAACCCTTCAATTCATTCCAGTTTACCGAGTTGCCAGCGGTACATCTCTTCGGTGCCGTGCTCGCATTCGCTTCGCTAATGGTCTATGGTTGGGGTCAAGTGATTCTAGGGTAAGTTTAACATAGCTCTGTCAGTTTGGCGTTGTCTAGAGCACGTCTAATAAAAGTCGGACTGTTTCTTCGCCTTTCCCCTTAAGTGTCACTGTGTTCAATGTTTTCTTCCATACCTATTTTTTTCACAAGAATGCTGGGTTGTGAACAAAACTTTCGCCCCAGGCGGGACTAGAACCCGCACCTCTCGCTTTCCGGGCAAGTGCGCTACCAGTTACGCTACCGGGGCACCATTTCATTCCAACTCAGCTTTTCATGGTATACGTACTTAGCTTGTCGGCACTCATACGTATTAGGTCGGTCCATAATTTTTGAGAAACTTTACATGTATTGGTGTAAAAATCTTTTGATAAGTATTGAAGCTTTCCAAGATGTCCTGCAACCTAGCACACAAGCTCGCCTATCCGACAGGCTAGCCACCTCGTTTGCTTGTTACTTTCTTTAGCTAGGATTCCAATTTCTTTGAGACCTACTTCTGAGCCTCTTTCTTCATGTTAGATTAGAATCTTCCACGAGCAAGGCTATAAGGAGGATTACCCAGAGGATAGCTGAGGGCACGCTCCCTCAGCTATTCTCTGGGTAATCCCCTTGCAGCCTGGTGGTTACCTCTACTCAGGGTTCCCTCCTTTTATTCGAAGATGATCCACACTCCAACCACCCCGTGACTGGCAATCTCGATGCTCTATCCGGCGCCATTGAAAAGGAATCTGAACAAAGTGAGCGCTATTTGTCAGAGCGCTTTTGGTGTTACAAGGTGAGAGTACTGAGACATCTCGATAAAGTCGCTAAGGTTTGAAAATATGGAGTTTGTCTCTCACATGCTCTGAGCCCGAATCAGCTCTAAACCCGATCTGACATCATCATGTTCCTCTTGGTTTCCCATAGTTCCTTCGAATGACCATCCACATACTCACCGGTGATGTGGACTGGGTGCAGTGTGCTAACAAATCCACAAGCCGCAGTAGCTTAGCTTAAACGATTCGGGAGTTCTGACAGCAAAAACCCAACTCCCTCTGAATTCTAACTTCCTGAGTCGTTGGCGAATACGAGAGGGCTTTGCGCTGGGAACCGGCACCAACTAATACCAGTGTCAGTGATGAAGATAATCGTGACAGCTTGATGGCAACGCCTTCAACTTGAAAGCAAAGTAAGACAAAATCTATTTTTTCTGAGGTCGTTCGAGTCCACCTTGCTAAGAAAATTCATAAAAAATTGGAGACTCTCGGGCGGTCAGTTCTTTTAGCTCCGCCTTGTAGCACTAACCTTGCGTCAACGAACGACTATCCGCTCTCCTCTCTCAATCACCTTCTGGAGAAGAAATCTCACTTGAATCACCATAAAGTCAAAATCGACATCCAATATTTCTTCGATCAGAACTCTATGAAATTCTACAAGAGAGACACTGAATACCCACCCTCGCATTGGTTATATGTTGGTAATAATGGTGATGTATGT